CTGAACTGATGTTACAGAAGACACTAAGAATGAGGTTCGCAAAATTACATTTATTAACACAGTTTTATGTACATAATGTTCTCTACTCACAAACCAGTAAGACTGAGGTAACAAAATACCCTTTTGTACAATGAGTTAGGAAACATTAAGTGTTACATTTGGTCCTTTGTACCTGAGAAGCTGAAAACAGCTGTTGGTGGTGGACATCGGATGAAAACTCAAATTTACTTCCAATTATAGACCACGTTAGGACCTCCAGAATCTCACTGGCTTCCCAGCGAAGCGGATGCCGGGAGCAAAGGCCTGCCGGCCCTGGGGCTGGCGGGGGGCTGGGCGCCGTTCCTCCAGCCACCACCCTGCAGGGAGGCCGGGCAGGGCAGCCCCTGGCCTCAGGCACCACACCTCGGGGAGAGCAAATGCCCTCAGCCTGCCCTGCCCCGCATGCAAAGGGAAAAAAAAAATACAGATTTCTGCATCACGTCCCTGCAGCAAACAACTCCTCCTCCCTGTCCTTTCATCACCTCTGGGAATTTAGAGTGAGCAAGTTCAGTTTAGTTGGGGGGATTTTTTGGTTTTGTCCAAAAATGAGACAATGGGAGGAACCAGCTAGGCTCCCTTTTGTTCCTACAAATGGAACAGGAGGGCAAAAGCGATGAAAATGGCAGTAGCACCACAGCAAGAATTTTGCACCCCTTCCAAATCCTTGGAGGTGGAGGAAAAGGACTTATCATGACTTTCACTGACACAGAGGAGTGTGTGACATCCACGTGACATCCAGATCCAGGACCCACCTTGTATCTCAGATGACAAAAAGCTTTCTGCATGTATATGCTGCTACATGACCAAAAGAGACTTTAAATATAAACTACAATCCTGTATCAGCAAGAATACCTCTATTATCACTGTACATATTTTTGTGTATGTATATATTTTTGCCACGTAGTATACATTCAGGTCTCCCAGATTAAACAGGGTTCTACAAAAATAGGTTTACGGCTTTCCTGTAGAATTTCCCTCGCCAGAACCACGTGAATGTTAACCACCACACGTTAAGAAAAAGCACAGTTCAATTTATGTTCAACTGCAAAGTCTCACGTATCCAAGATACCGTCTTCCCCCCCCCAAAAAAGAAGGGAAAATACCAGTGCGGATTTTGTTAGCGCGCGGGTACTGACTGGGCTGTACACAGCTACCCAGCGCGTCCATCCTGGGGGAAGCGAACACCACCGACACGCGACTCTGCAGTTGCTGCGGATGAAGGAAGTGCACTGCTTGGCCTCTTCAAGCCAAGAACTTCTGTGACTTCGATGAGATGGAAATACGTATGCTGCAGTTGCAACAGTACGGAAACTAGCAGCTGCAGCAGCAAGAATGCCAACCTCAGCGGTGCTACTGAGTGCGGGCACAATTTGGCCAGGAAAGAAAGTGTACACAAATTATGAACATACCTGTATCAAAATAAAAAGCAAAAAATATAAATCAAATAATGCAGCATTTTTAGGGCAGTCTCTGCAGTTATAATGAATTAAAAAATATAAACTTTGATGAGCCCAGCTGATTTGAACAGTCCACGCAGCTTCTGTGCCGTATTTTCAGAACCAACAAGAGGACTTTTGTATCAGTCTGGCCTTTCCAGTTGCAACAAAACATTTGTCCTGGATTTCTGAAGGCTGAAGTGACAGGCAGGAAAGCGCGAATCAAAGCCTGACCCACGGGTGGGTGGAACAACTAGAACTATTAAAACATTACCTTTTGTGCATTGGAAGAGATGAAAGAAGCTGGCAAGTGCGGTCTAAAAATATAGTTACGAGTGCCAAACCCCCCCCCCCCAAAAAAGTAATTCTCAGCTGGACTGACTGGAGTAGTTTATTCTAGTTAGTATGACCTAGAAGTGTTTTATATTCTGGGAGATTAACACACAACTATATCTCTTAATGAAAGTGGTGTTTACTTTTTAGCTAAGTCTAGCTACTGAAGTCAGGAATCTGAGCAACTCTTGCACAATCTAGAACCTCTACTCGCAGGCGTTAACAGATGTTACATTTACACAGAGTTCTCACAGTGTTCAGCAGCTTCTGAAGCCTGCGGTGCAATTATTGTTAATCACCAGGCATGTAAGACTGTATGAACAACACAGACGGTACAACAGACCTACAAAGGCTAGGAAATACAGAACTGAGGCTGAAACTTGCAATTAGGCACGACATATTCATGAAGTGTAAGATCACTTAATAGTTACAGACACCCATCACACAGTGTCTGGTCATAGAAGGAAGAGCTGATTGCGGTTCTGTCTTGGCTCTCGGTTTCCTTACTTCTGTGGATGCAAATCCGACCTTCGGTACAAAAATGAGAAGTAATTTATTACATTAACTTTGCTGGTTTTCCCATTCTTTGATATGGGGGGAAAAAACAGCGGGGAAAAATAAATGCCTGACAGGATCCCAAGTTCCCACAGGGCAAGTAATATCTATGTAATAATGGTTTGTGAAGTAACAGATTAATAAGGATTTCCGTTTTGTCTAAGAGTTTGAACATACATTCACAACATACACTGCTACACCTAATCTGTGACTGCATTAAATACAACAGGACTGCATAAAAACCACATCTGAATTATTTTTTGGACAATGGATATGCACAATATCTTGCTTCATTTTTTTTTCTGGCTGAAGAGATGTACCAGTTCAAATCTTAGACCAATGGCCTATGAGTTTGTTGAGTTTTTTTAAATGGTATGTTAGAGATGCAAGAATGCATCTCAATTAGTAAGATTTTTTTTTGATCTGCATATCTGTACTTTAAAATAACTACCTTTGAAGGTCAACATTTCATGTAATTATTCTCAATCTAAAGAAAGTGCTGTAAATAAACTCCTGAAAAACAGGAGTTTCTACAGGAAATACAGACCAACACAGACCTGGCCTCACTGGATGCTAGTATACTACTGTACATTTTCTCTTGGCTTTAACAGAGCCAGTAAATCAGATCTGGAGCCTTTACCCCTACAGAGCATTACTGATAATGGCAAGAACACGAATTATTCAAGTAATCGTCACCCATACCAGCTGTATCACTTCACCACAGGATCTGCAGGTGTGGTGTTGGAAAGATCTCCGTTACTTGCTTTAACAGATTCTTCTACAAAAATAAAAATTGAAGACAGGGGTCATGTTTAACATCTCACTCAAGGCAGTAAAAACAAAGTCTTAGCATGTATTTATGCTGATGCGTAACACACTCGATCCAGGACACCACAGTCAGCACATGCAAACTGACCTTGCCACATGAAGGGTCCTGGCCCTGTGAAGAAATCTGCATTTGGGGTGAAAGGTTTCTTCGACCAGTAGAAGTTGGGTAAGGATTACATACACATGCCCACACGTTTTGCAGAGTCCAAGTCCAAACATTACAGTAGCAGGCAAAGGTATCACCACGTTCAAAGCTTGTCACCCCGGTATGCATTTCGGGCTTTTCTCGCCACAAAACACATTTTTCAGGGAACTGAACATCTATCACAACAGTCAATATTTAACCTAAAAGATAATTAAGCAACTGCTGTTCTACAGAATGCTCTCCTAAAGAAGCCAGGGCAATATGTCTATTCTTACTCGTCACAATGCTTGTAGCTGTTTTTTTGAGTGAACCATTACTTGAGCATCTTCACCGAATAGGATCAAATACACACTCATGCTAAGAGACTTCTTTCTTTGTTTTCCTAGCAGAGAAGAAAACTGAAAGATCAAAGATGGCTCACTGACTCTCATCTCACAGGTCCCTTGTGTCTTTGTCAGAACCACGGTGGGAAATTATTTCCCAATTCCATTTTTAATATACTGCTACCTGAGTTTCTAAGTAACTCGTGACTGAACTACACTTCTGTATCTTAATCCTTGGGAACATTCTCATTTCTTTTCAGTAAGTTTTGCCATACCAGAGAGAATCTTCCAGAATTCATTAGGGAGACTATATAAGCATGGATACAAAACTCAAAATACCCATGTTTCCTCGTCAAGAGATCATACCACAAATTAAGGTCTTACCCTTTGAATATAACTCAAGGGCAGACCAGAACACATCATAAATATCTGAAAGTCACATATAGTATAGGCCATCTGCCTACCTAAGCTGAAAAACAGCTTCTAACAACAGCTGAAAAACACCAATTTATTTCACACCAGCCAAGATTGTGCAGAAAAGGCTGTCATTGTCAAAACTGGTAATCTAGAGACCAAGTATGATGCTGAAGTTACTGAATTTCATATTACTGCAAGCACGCAATTCTCCCTGTCCCAGGTCTTTTT